GGGGGGGGGGGGCTTACCTGCTGGTTCTCCTTGTCGCCCGGCGCTGCGTGGCCGGGGCCGCTCATCATGTTCGCGTAGAGAGAGCGGGATAAAGGGCTCCGGAGGTAGCGAGCGGGGCCAGACCACATCCTCCTCCTCAGCAGCCACAGCGAGACGGCGCAGCAGCCCAGCCAGGCCAGGCAGAGTCTCATGGGGGAAGAAAGGGCCCGCGGAGGAGACGGAAGAAAGGGGAGAGCGATCACCCCCGCCCGCAACCACCGCCTCCTTGCTCCATGACGGCGGCGGCGGAGGAGGCAGAGGCGGCGGCCAGAGCCAGCGCGGAGATCCCCATTGAGCGCCCTCCTCGCCGGCGCGTAGCCGAGGCCGGAACCCGAGGCCCGCGGAAGGGGGGCCCGGCCGGACAGGATGGCCAGGGACACGCACGCGCCCGACTGCCTGCCGCCCGCTCGCTCTTTCTCGCGCGCAACGCGCACGCGCAAGGCACACACACACACACACACACAGGCGCGCGCCCCGCCTCGAGCCGCCTTTCCTTCCTTCCTTCCCTTCCTTCCGCGGAGCCCTCGGCTCGCCCGCGCGCCTGCGCACTCGGCCGGGACCGCGCCCGCGCCCGCGCCCGCCCCACCCACCCCCTTTTGGGCCCGCTCCTCCAATCCCGGAGCGGCCCGAGCAACGCCGCCCGCCGCACAATACCCTTCGCGGGGGCGCGCGCGTCAGGATCGGGGAGGGGGGCGTGGCCGACGGTGCGGGCGCGCGCACGCCCGGACGCGTTCCTTTCCTTTCCCCCCCCCCCCCCCTACTTTTCATGCCCTGCTCAGTGACGGTCTGTGGGGTGGTCGTAAAGCGACCTCCCCGCCCCACTCCCTCCCTCCCCCATCGTTAAAACGACGCTTTCCAACGCCTGATTTCCCATGGTAGACTTGACCTGCACGGGAGGTTCCCTTTCACACACACGCCCCGGGACATACATACATACATACATATATATATATATATATATATATATATATATATATACACACACACACACACACACACACACACACACGCACACACACACACACACACTAATTCTCATGGGCTTTCCAAGCATCCCTTTCCTCTTTAACAGCAGCATCCTTGTGTCACGCCAGGGAAGAAACCACCAAAATATCCCCAACAAAGAGTTCCATCAGATAGACTGCACCTACACGAGGAGGTTCTACCTGCAGAACCAGGATTTTGAATGAGATGAACAACTTGATCTTTCACACACACAGACACACACACAGAGAAACAGCCACCTGTGTGTCTCAGGGAAGAGACTTCTTCATGTCCAATGGGAATAATGGGAAGGAATATTTATTTTTCCCCCCCAAAGAAAATCGCCCACAAAAGGAAGCCTCGCTGTCCCTTGCATGGATGAAAACAGCTGTGATGGCTCATAAGGAAGCTAAACTATTGTACCAGTTTGGGAGACTTTTTCCTAACTGTTCATTTTCACACCCCACGTTTAAAAATAAAACCACTTTTACAGAACAGTAACTTTAAGCAGCTGGAAATTACTTGCAGCCCACAGCAAAAAAAAAAAAAAAGCTTTATGCTTGGGGGGGGAAGGCTCTTATTTTAATTGGAAAAACTTAATGGACAATTAGTGAGTTTCCACGTCACTCCACAAGAAGTTGGAAGAGGAGAATGATATGGATTAATTTTTTAAAAAAACTACAAAATATTGAACTTTTCCTTATTCTCCATTGCAAACATTCAAAAATTAAAGATTGTATAACTGGGAAATCTTTTTTTAAAATCTATCTACTGCTGGATTGGCATAATTCCAAATTTTAAAAGAGCTGGACTATTATGCCAAATAGATTATGTATTATGAAAGCACAAAGTCCAGGGCAATATATACTATTGATTAGGATCTGTCTTATTCTGCCAACATAGTTTTAGGATGATTTGTGTTGCAGTAAATAAATAAAAGCCATTGGCACCAGCAACTATTCTGGCAGATAACTGAAGGGAAAAGCATTATAATGCTATTACGGATGACAAATTGTACCTTAGCTTTGTTCAGTCAGTTGAGCTGTACTGAAAAATGCCATCATTTATAACAATAATGTTTGGAGGAAGTGTTTTAAATAATGTGGGTGTTTTTCCAATTCTTAATCAGTATTCTTCATTGTAAGCTTGTTCTGTTACCAGTTTATCCAGTTTACCAAGCAAGCAGGAAAAATGATGGAACGGTGTTTATACAACTTACGCTCCACCAAAAATATCACCTATAAAAGCCAGTTCCATTGAGTTCCCTATAATACGTCCAACAAGCAGAAAGTAATTAAGGATTTAAACATTTAGAACCATTATACAGTAGTTTAATTCATAATAAAAGGCACTAAGGGTTTATTAGACTAAAAACTTTTAAGATAATGTATTAAAAGGAGAGGGAAAGCTACTGGACTGGAACAGCTGAAGAATTTAATAGACCAGAACAACATAAGAAAAAAAAAAGCTAAAGCCCAACTTAGTATTTCTAAGAAATCCTATCCTCCAATGTAGTAATAAGAATGAAAACAAAGAGTTGGCTTGCATATATGCATTACAAGAATAAATGACACAACAATCCATTGGGCAAAGGATAGTACGATTTATTTTGTTTGTAATTCAGATTTCACCCTATCAAGCAAAATTTGTTTTCCATTCATTACAAATACTATTGAAAAAAGTAGAAACGGAAGACTTTTATAGAAAGAAATCCCAAATCGCATTTTCAAATAAGGCAGAAAAAAAAAATCATTGGCTAAAACAAAATACAGAAATCGGATGATATGAGTGAACACAAGATTATCGACATGGCAGTTAAGGCCTATTTTCCTAACAGATATTTTTCCTATGACCTTGGAAACTCAATTTTAAGCTCGACAGCTTGAGAAAAAGTTCAAGAAAACAGCTTTCCTTCTGCTATCAAGCCTTTACATCAGGTTCCTACAAAAATTTCTGCCCTTCACTTCGATTTGTCCACCATTGTGCTGCTACAGTTCCCCCTTGGCCACCACTGACAAACTACACAGTGGCATGCCAAATCACCACTGCCCTTTGGAACATAAATATGCCCGTATAGATGTTCTCTACATAAAGCAACAGCTTCTATGATGTTGCCAAGCTTGGTTTTCTTAGTTATGCAGTCCTCCATATTTCCTTGTCTGCTTCAACCTTCAAGCAACCATTCATGGTGGAATGGTGTTGAGATGTCCTGAGTTTATTTTTCATCTCCCTTTTTTGGTGGGGTCTTAATAGGTGGGAGGCATTTTATTTATCTCTTGCGTGTTAAGGTGAGTCAAAAACTTAAGAGTATGCATCCAGTTTACTTTGCAAGGTTTAATGTGTCTCCATTTATCTGGCATATCAATGGAACTTAGAAAAAGATTCCTACTTCATAATCAAGAATGATAAGATTTTAAAGTACAGAGGATCACGAAATGGCACAGGCTGCATTTGATTGGCTCATTCAAGAGAGATAGGAAAATCCTGTGTTCTTTCTGGCCATTGACACCTGTCAATTGAACACCGTTCTTGCAATGCTCACACATTGATAACAGTTCATAGTATCGGCGTCAGATGAGTATTCTGGATGGAAAAAGGGGTCCAGGTCAGAATCTGTATCGCCGTAATGCAAAGTGGCACCAGGCAGATCATGTAGAACATGGCATCATGGAGACCTAAGTACAGACTAGGGAGAAAACATTTTACAATTTTCCACCGGGATTATAGAACCAACTATCGCTACAGCCTGTCCTGTGCCAATTTATTTTCTACCCTAACCTTACTCTCTTTGGTTTGCAATTGACATCCAAACTTTCTGAGCAAAATCTGGTTTATTTTTCAGAAGAATCGCCCCAAGTTGCGTTATTGATTTTATACATTGATTACCCAGGCAACCCACCCCAGCTGTGCTCATCTTTTGCCAGCAAAACCAAAATGTTGTCTGTCACCTTCAAGGCTGATGGATCGCTGCAAGCAGAATTAAGATCCATCTCATCGGAGTCTAATGTGAATCAAGAATCAAACTGTGTGTGTGTAAAAAAAACCAAAAACCTACACGGGCAGTCCTTGACTTACAATTATTCACTTAAAGACTATTTGCAGTTACAGCGCTGCTGGGGAAAAAAAAGTCCTTGTTCTTACGACCGTCAAAGCATCCTCATGGCCATGTGTTCAAAATTCAGGCAATTGGCAGGCAGAGTCCCTAGGATCGTGTGATCACCAGTTACGACTTTCCCAAACAGCTTCCAGCAAGCAGACTTAACAGGGGGGGCAAACCAGATTTGCTTCATGATTGTCTGAATCGCTTAACAACTACAGCGAAACAAGGTCACAGAATTGGGTGCGACTCACTTAACAACCGCCTTGCTTAGCAGTGGAAATTGTGCTTCCCATCTGTGGTCATTAAGTCAAGGACCACCTGCAGAACTTAAAAACTCTTTTAGGCAGATACATGGGGTTGACTTTAATAATAACTGACCACCTACCTGGAGTCAGGATCGACGGCTTTACTATTCAGATCCGCGAAGCCAAATTGATTTAGTACAGAAACCACAAGCATCGGAGCTAAGGACTGAGCTGGCTTTGTGAAGAGAGCGTTCGTTCCAAAGACCATGGATGAGAGCGGAGATCTGAAATGTAAGACAGGCCAGGGTTTAGCTGATATAATAATGGAAACAGATTACAATTTAATATCCATGTAATAACGATACCCATTGCTTCATTTATGATTTAAAAAAACCTGGGGGCATGGTACTCACTTTCTTTTATGTTTCTTTAAATCTGCATCAACAATATCAGCCAATGGTAGATTAAACAGACTGAAGGATGCTTGAACCATCACCCTGAAGAAATAAAATAATCCGGTGAATTGGCCCACACAAGTCACGATTGTCTATTACCATAAAGTATATATCTTCTTGGTCTCCCCCATTTTGGCAGCCTACAACTGCCAGCGGTATTTTTCAGCTACTAAAATTGATGGTGAATATTTACTTACATGTTGACAGTGAGATAAATAGCCAATAAATAGTAATATTCTCGACCCAGAGCGAGCATGAGAATTGCAGCCGTTCCTTCCAGGTAGAAAGAAAATAAGACAATCTTGTAATAACCAAATTTCACTAACAAAGTGTGACTGAGGAGCACAAGACACTGAAATAGAACAGGAATAAAAAAAGAGAGAGAGAGAAAGAACTACATTAAAACCGAAGTTGAATTGCATGTAGACTTTTTTAAAAAGGTTAAAAAAATGGGGAAAGAAACCATATTTTGAAAGCAAACAGGCCAGTAGTGCTGTATCTGAAGGGATAACTCTCAAATCCTATTTCTTATCATGTTGGTGTTACTGATACACAAAACAAAATTTCCACAAAAAAATACTTTTTGGAAACTATTCATTATATTCTGACACATGCTGTGTTCAAAACAAGTATGTCAAATGTTTTACAGGTGTATGGGTACTATACATGTGTACAAAACAGTTGCATTTTGTGCTGGGAAAAAGTGAGAAAACCTCCTACATTAATTAAATCATATGCAGTGGTACTTTGGTACTCATCCTTAATTAGTTCCAGGAGGTGTGAGGAGTACCAAAAACGATGAATACTTCACACATTTTTACTATAAGGAATAATGTGAGTCACAAGGCAGCCAACAGCGACAGGTTCTAGCTTGTGAGTTGAGTACCAAACAAACAATGAGTATTGGGACAAAATTTTTTGCATCAAAAGTACCAAATTCAGCGTGTTTCAAAGCAGTTGAGTACCAAGGTACCCCTGTATATAAAAGTCAGGCAATTTTGATTGAAATCAGAAGCGCCCAATATTTGATCCTAGATCGTATTTTTCTCAAGTTAAATTTTTGTATTAGTTTATCGAAGTAAAAAATAGAAAGAAAAACATGAAAAAGTAAAGAGAGGAAGGGAAAAGGGGGGGAGGGGTTATAGTGTAATGTGAGAAAGAAAAAATAAAAAAGGCACCAACGTCCGACTCTCTTTAGCACAGTCAAAGGTAACAACATTACAACTACAACGTTTTGCTTTTACACAATAGTATGTACAGGCCATTTCTACAACAATAATCCTGGATCATATTTTTCTCCAAGATCTTCCCATAACGTTTCCCAGCAAGAAGTAGGATTTAAAATATGTTTGTCAACTCATAAAATATTTCTATGGTCTTTTTACAGTTGCCAACAGAAAGGGAGGGAGGAATAGTTGGGCAGCTTGCATTCCATTAATGTTTTTCAAAGATAGTAACTAGGTGACCGAAGTTTCTGCCATGCAAAATTCTAACTGGAGAGCATGATTGATGACACTGGGCTATGGATGTGTCCCATTGGAGAATATGAATTACGATATACCCAGGGGGTGGTGGAAAACCAGGGTCAAGGGTGACAATGAATTATGAATTCACCCACCCAGCAATGAATTATATGTCTCAGTGCTGGCATGTTTACTCCTAATAAATCTTCTTTACATTTGGAAATTCAGCTAGAGACTCATGATTTAAATGGGGGTAACTGCCGGAGCCCTGAGAACGTTAGGACTCAACACATTTAAGAAAAAAAAAAAGATGACAAAACGGACATGCAGTTTTCTGCCTACCTGCGGACAAATGAAACCTGCCCCGTACATCAAGCTTCGGACGGAGGAAGAAAGGACTCCGTTTGGGATGAGATTATCTGCAAAGATCATCATGAAATTGTTGCAGAAGGCTAAGTGGAAGACTTGGAAAAAGTTCATGACGACAAAAAGCAGGAAGTTTTTCTGAGTCAAGATCTGGCGGGTCAACGAGAACACCAAAGACCAAGAGAGGGAGGGGGCCTTGGTGCTTTCTGGATCAGACTCTTCCATCAAGGATTCCCTTTGCTCGTACTGAGTCGTGCTGTAGAAGCCGGTGTAGGACATGCAAGCCGTTGCGATGACCGCTACCAGCACCGTGAAGGCCTGGAAGTAGGCGAAGCGCTCCATGTTGGCCGAGATCAAACCACAGAACAGGATGCTGGTGGAGCCAACCAAGCTGGCTACCTGGTTGTACTTGATCAGCTGGAGGCGACTCTCGTGCCGGGTGGAGATTTCGGCGAAGAGGGCGCACTGCGCCAGCAAGACGAACGTCAGCAGGCCATCAAAGGCGCACAGGGCCACAATGAGATGCAGCCCGCAGAGCCAGTCTTCTTCCTCGTATTGCTTCCAAGGAAACCACGGGAGGAGGAAAGCCAGGGCGTACAAGGGGGCCCCGTACAGAATCGAAAACTGACGGCGGGAGCAACAGGGCACCTGGGAGTTGTCCTGAAGGTACCCGAAAAGAGGGTCGTTGACGGCATTCCAGATCATGAAAACAACCTGGGAGCAAATGGGACAGGTCAGGTTTTCCCCACAGCAAGCAAGACTGGAAACTCAACAAAATCCGAGGACGCCCCATACAGGCAATCCTCGATTGACAATCAGTGGCTTAGCTCAAACTTAATTCATTGGTGGGATTGAAGAGTTTTTTTTTACTACCGGTTCTGTGGGGATGGCACGGCTTGGCGGGCGTGGCTTGGTGGGCGTGGCAGGGGAAGGATACTGTAAAATCTCTATTCCCTCCCCACCCCATTTGGGGCCCTAGGCAATGCAGCTGCGTTTATTGGCATTTGCAGCAGTCCTGTGGTCACGTGGCCGTATTTTACAACAGTTTTGACGAACACTTCTGGTTTTTCAGTAAAAATATTCCCCTGGCGAACAATGGGTTCACGTTTATGACCACAGCATTCGTTTGCAAAAAAGCTAGTAAGATCGGGCATGGTGACGTGATGACCTGCTTAATGACCGGCATGACTTATAGCTGTAATTCCAGGCTCGACTACTGTCCTAAGTTGAGGACTACCTGGATACAACACTCAGTCTCAAAAAGGACGTGTCCTGTTGAACTTCAAACCAGCACTTGGATTGCAAAATGAATTTTTACTAATGACAACAATCTATGGCTACCTTTGTTTAATATGTCTCATGGCAAGCTGTTCATTTTGGATTTTTTTTTCTTTTAATGACCCCATAATCCCTTGCAGGGCAGAGTCTGGGCAACTGAATGGAGCTAGCAGAGTGTTTTAATGGCCGGGTGCCCTTCCTGTCACCAATGCGAAGTTTTGTTCAGCAGATATATTCTCAGTGTGCCAAGAGAGATAAATATCTGCCCCTACCTAGTATCGAACTCACAGCCTCCTGATTGTGAGGTGAAAGTTCCTCCTCTAGGCCACCACATCACTCCTAAGCTTTTCATTTTAGATGTACAGTAAAAATACAACCTGCTTTGAAACGAAATATATAAATAGCCACATCAATACTCTTACCTGCCCTTGATGGAATGCTGATTCTGAGATCTTGTACTTGTTTAAAAAGAGTTTCACATAATAGAAATTGAAGATACTGTTCATCATTCCAGCGCCTAACGTGGTCATCGAGTAGGCAAGAGCATTAGGGTGAAGTCCTAAAAAAGACTTCATTTTTCTGCTGTAATATTTTTCTTCTTCCCTGTAGTACAGAAAAAATAGTTGGACAAAAATAAGTATATATAGCTTGCAATTCTCATGGAACATCTCGGAGTATGCTTTCTAATTTTTAAAAATCTACGTACAACTGGAATCAGAACTCCGAGGGTTACGGATGAAGCTCCTCCGTTTAAAAGCATGATCATAATTTTGTGGAATTTAGGAAATGTTTGTGCAATATTTAATGGCACTTAAGAGACAATGGTGGAGGATTAAAACACAAATATGACACTAAAGTCTTAAACACCACTATGTTTGCATTGGAATAAAAGACAGAAACACTGCACTTTGGAAATAATAAGGTTATAATACCAAACATTTAAAAGAGCAGTTTTATGCTTTTTGATTTGTAACCACTAGTAAGCTTTGATACAACTCTTTCATTGTTTTCATAAAGTGGTATGTTATAGATGAATGACCTGATCTGGTCAATATGATGAGTTTAGTATGGAAAAGAAATTCTGCATTATCTAATCACCGTGCTGAATTTTTAAAAGAAATTTGTGACTATCAACTGCAGAGGGTGCGTAGCCCTTTCTCTGTGGGAAAGGAATTTATATTTTTAACAAGGGTTGTGCTACCAAACTATAATTTGGTAATGAATAAGTTCAGAAAGGGTTTATTTATTATTTCAATGTATAATAATGAAAAAGGACAAGCAAGAGTATGTTGGATTTTGGCCAAAATATGTGAACACAGCCAATGAAAAGAATAAAAGATGGGTGACTTATATACATTTGAAATAATAAATAATATATAAATGAAAGCTGAAATAAGATGGGGGTGTTAAGGTAGATTTTAATACAGGGCAAAAACGGAGTCTGTTACAAATCAGGTGGTTTCATTCTCAACTAGCGCATAAAACCATTGATTAAATTAGTTAAAAGGACAACAGTGTGCCTGCCTGAACAAAGCTAAATGCCGACAAATATAAATCATCTTTTAATTAGAATATAATTCAGATGAACCACCAGAGGGCAACATTTTCTCACCTACATTGATCCACGCCTAGCAAGAGCTTAGCAATTGGACAAGATTTAACAACAGAAAATAAGAGCATCATCGACCTTCACGGATCCTGAGGGGAAAAGGACATTCCTTGCTTTCCAGCCAAGATAATACAGGAGGAGCACAAAAGAGTCTGCCCCTCCCTTTTCACCTAAAATTTACATTTTAATAAACCAAGATGTGGAGCACAATCCACTGTCAATACCAAATAAAAAACTACAATTCAACAGAACTACAAAACCCCTGTAAAAGGAGATAGTTAACCCACCTATTTGTACAATATGTTACAAAACCAAGCTTAAAATCGGTTAACCAGAGAGAGCAGCGATTCCCTTTAATAATATTTACTTCAAAGGAATCCCAAGATTGATGCAATTAATGCCTGGGGTAAGATTAAGAATGAATGGAATGCAACACACAGAATATTTAGCAGGAATCAGGGGTTGTTGTCTGTGTGTGAGGTCCACCTCCCATTCCTGGTCCAATCCCACATCTTGGCTCCTAGTACAATAACATCTATTGTACGGCACGTTTTCTTTCTCATATATTTTCATGGATATATTCATAGTGCCTCATCCAATCAATGTAAGATTTCTATAGGACCAGAGGTTTGCTTTGCGTTTTCAAAAACAAATGCCCCTTTGATGGGCACCAAACAGCCCCTTATTTGAAGACTGGATAAGAAAGCAAATTTGGGCATTTGTATTGTAAAATAAATGTTTCCATCTCCAAAATGCTACACAGAATGATTGTGGATTCTTGCTGTAACCAACAAACAGGGATAACTGCTTTTTTTTTTAAAAAAAAATATTGATTAGACTCCATCTGGAGATGTTTGTTATTGCCCATACACAAAACTTTTAAAAGCCTTAAATATTTATGACTTGGAAAACTTTGGTGTACTAAAGCCCTTTTCAAAAGGTATTGTATCACCGTTAAATTTTTTCTCTCTCTCAGAACTTCTGCCCCATTTTTGAAAATTGTGAACGACCCACAAAAGCGTTGGTTGGTATGGTTTATATCAATATTTATTATATCAAAAATTAAAACTGAGGCAGTTGCTGCTCCCAGAGTTTCTGAGGGTTGTTAGGAGAATCGTAATATTGTATTACTTTTCAACTTAGGCTGGCAAATGGTCTATGATTTCACAAAGCCAAGAGGGGGTACTGATGAGAAACACTGATGGAAATGAGAGTAGAGCACAGTGTAAAACAAAAATAAAAACTTATTTGTTTCTCAGCATTTTGGCTTTTTTTTTTTT